TCCCAAAAGGACACAACCATTTCTGGTCCCCGCCTGTTGTTTTGCTCCTCAGCATGGCTTCCTAAAAACGCTGCAGGATTTCTCAAACATGCATGAATGAGTCAGAGCAAGGATTTGGGCATTTTTTTATGAGAGTACGACATTATAACATGATATAAAACTCAAAAAAGTTGATTTTACATGATATTGTCCCTTTAAAGTTTTGGTAAATAACTGGATTGTAGCCTGAGTCAACATAAAGAAGCGTTGCTGACCTCTCTGTGTGACCCTGAGGTGACGGATCGAGGCCGTTCCTGCTCAGATTTCTCCATCTCATCCAGGAAGCTCATGATGCTCTGCAGCTTGGCCTCGGACAGGAGAGCGCCCCCGTCTGGCAGCGCATGGTGGTGGCTCAGCTGGCCGTGACGCTCCAGGTTGTCGGCGGTCAGCGAGTTCGAGTTTCCATCCTTTCGCGAGAAGCAGAAGGAAGTTGGATTAAAACTCGTCTCTTGGAGTGTCTCCGCCTCTGTTTGGACACTGACCTCATCTATCCAGGCGTATTTCTCCTTCTGATAGCCCAGCGGCTCCGACAGACCCGCCGGCTCTTCTTCTAACAGCTTCAGGGTGTCCAGCAGCTCGTTCAGGGTGGTTTTAGACGGGACCGCCTGGTGCTGGTCCTCCACGCTCACGGACCTCTGCAGGACCTCCTGCACCACACAAACCAAAAGCCTGAGACAAGAACTGCTGGCAGGAGTCCAGCAGGTAAAGTTCAGCTTTTCACCTGGGAACACTGGGATCCCCTGCGGTTTGACAAAAGTGGAGAAACTGCTCTGGAGCTGAGATCCCCTCCATCACCTGAAGGGTTTAAATTAGAGTCTGCAGAAACAAACACACCGTAAGAAATATTTGTTAAACACACGACACACACTGATTTGAGATGTTCTTGACATGTTGGACCTGTGTTGTTGGTTTTAGTGTCTGTGGGCGACTTCTGGCTGCCGCTGCTCGAGGAAACTCTGAGAAGTTTCTTGCGTCCCGCTGAACCCGCCCGCCTGACGGTTTCCAGCTCAGCCTCGGCTGCGTGCTGCTCCTCCACCGCTCGCTGGGCTCGTTTCTGCTGCAGCTCCTGTGACGACAAATCAAAACATCTGGAACCTTTTAATTTAAAAACACAACAGAGGCTCGCAGGCAGCTCATACATCAGAAGTRCTGTGCTGGGGGGCAGCCAGGCGAGTCAGACCGGACTTCTCTTTATGGATCTGTTTCCTGTCACCTCTCTGTTGTTGACTCTCTCCTTCTGCTTTGTCCTCCTGTTCCAAAACAAACAGAGTGAGGGTTTTATAAATTTAAGAGATGGATACGCGTTCACACTGCCGACAGTAATGACGATAACTGTTTTAATGCGTATTAACACTGTTATTTTTTCTTTACATTTATACGTTTACTGGTTATGCACACACACAAACCCAGTGGTCACATTGTGGTGGAATCTTGGACACTTTTTGCTTTAAATGGGCATCGATGTGCATCTCAACCAGGGTTATTATAGTTGCCTAAAACTAACTAAATAACGAAAACTGAAACTGGAAAAACATTTTAGTTAACTAAAATAAATAAAAACTGTAATAAAATGAAAAAATAACCTAACTTAAAACTGTATAATCTTTTTACAAAACTAACTAAAACTAACTGAAAATATAGATAGAATATCCTTAGTTTTAATGTTTGTCAGTTTCTTTCTTTCTTTTTAATTAAGTAGTTTCACATTAGCTGTGTGCAGCTTATAGCACCTCATGATCTGTAACAACACTTGTTTACAATCTGCTGCTCAGCATCATCTGCTAAATGATGACAACAAAAGTTGGGAGAAAGCAGCAACGTCCACTTTGGGATTTCTTTGAATATGACTGAAAAATCAAATCAAGTGTTTTGTAGTGGAAACAGGTGATAAAACAGGTGGAATACTTCTCAAGGGAAAATCTGCATGAATCAAGCTCACATAAGATGCTAACTGTGACTATCTTAACACGCTAGCTTCTCTCAGTAGCTCCTGTGAAAAACAAGCAGCAGGTTGGAGACAACTATTGTCATCGTCCTAAAATAATCACCAAGTTTTTAGTTGATAAAATTGAGTTACGCAATTATTTTAGGAAGGTGTTGCTATAATGGATGCTTTAACTAGTGACCAAATAACTGTTGGTTAGTTAACTCACAGGAACATTACAAGCTGGAGGATGTATTGGCAAATATGTTATTTAAAC